GACATAAGACACATTCCCAATCTAAGTGGGACACAAAGAGTCATTCCCAATCTGTGTGGGACATAAAGACACATTCCTGCTCTGGTTAGGACATAAGACACATTCCCATTCTAAGTGGGACATGAAGACACAATCCCAATCTGTGTGGGACATAAAGACACATTCCTGCTCTGGTTAGGACATAAGACACATTCCCAATCTAAGTGGGACACAAAGAGTCATTCCCAATCTGTGTGGGACATAAAGACACATTCCTGCTCTGGTTAGGACATAAGACACATTCCCATTCTAAGTGGGACATGAAGACACAATCCCAATCTGAGTGGGACATAAAGACACATTCCTGCTCTGGTTAGGACATAAGACACATTCCCATTCTAAGTGGGACACAAAGAGTCATTCCCAATCTGTGTGGGACATAAAGACACATTCCTGCTCTGGTTAGGACATAAGACACATTACTATTCTAAGTGGGACACAAAGAGTCATTCCCAATCTGTGTGGGACACAAAGACACATTCCTGCTCTGGTTAGGACATAAGACACATTCCCATTCTAAGTGGGACACAAAGAGTCATTCCCAATCTGTGTGGGACATAAAGACACATTCCTGCTCTGGTTAGGACATAAGACACATTCCCATTCTAAGTGGGACACAAAGAGTCATTCCCAATCTGAGTGGGACATTAAGACACATTCCTGCTCTGGGTAGGACATAAGACACATTACTATTCTGAGTGGGACATAAGACACATTCCCAATCTGAGTGGGACATAAAGACATCTTCCTGCTCTGGGTAGGACATAAGACACATTCCTATTCTGAGTGGGACATGAAGACACATTCCCAATCTGAGTGGGACACAAAGAGTCATTCCCAATCTGAGTGGGACATTAAGACACATTCCTGCTCTGGTTAGGACATAAGACACATTCCCATTCTAAGTGGGACACAAAGAGTCATTCCCAATCTGGGTAGGACATAAGACACATTCCTATTCTGAGTCGGACATAAGACACATTCCCAATCTGAGTGGGACATAAAGACATCTTCCTGCTCTGGGTAGGACATAAGACACATTCCTATTCTGAGTGGGACATGAAGACACATTCCCAATCTGAGTGGGACATTAAGACACATTCCTGCTCTGATTAGGACATAAGACACATTCCTATTCTGAGTGGGACATGAAGACACATTCCCATTCTGGATGGGACATAAGACATATTCCCAATCTGAGTGAGATTTAAAGACACATTCTCATTCTGGGTGGGACATAAGACATAGACATACTTTGGGGAGGACAAGATACATTCCCATTCTAGGCAGGATATAAAGACACATTTCCATTCTGAGTGGTCTATGAAGACAATCGTCTTCTGGGAACTATGGCTTCACTTCTGTAGTGCTGCAGCATATTTCAATTATTTCCATTTAAACTGATCAAAGAACATGAAGGAAAATATCACCATTGAATTTTGTTGTCGTAAATAAAACATGAAAATATAAATGAAGCATATCTAAAACCAGCGCCTTGGGTGAAGTTGACGCATCAGTAGTGTTGACAATAGATGTTGACGTGGACCGACTGTGTGTCATAGTGTACTGGTAGGTACCACATCTTCATGAATATTGTACAACCCACAGCTACAAAACCCTGTCTCTAGCTGTGACAACAACACGATTAGTACCCTAATGTAACGTCTTCAACATGGTTGTCACTGGCAACGCCATTCTGTTGAGCAGTTTAAAAAAAATTAAACCTACAATTTTTGAAGCTCAACTGTAATAAAACAGTCATTTTATGTACACAAAGAATACTTCATCTATTTTGTTTTTCATTTTTTAAAAAGGAGTAGTTGGATATCTAAACAGTGAGGGAAAACTGATATAAAATTTGTCAAAATATAAACACACTTGAAGAAGAAACAATAGAAACAGACATATAGAAAGTAATTATACACCTAAAGGGCCTCTCTTAGAGAGATACTGCTAGTCCAGTGGTCTTTGTGAAACCAAATGGAGCACAGCTTCTACAGGAGTCCCTCACAGATGAAGAGAAATACATCTTATTCAGGAGTTCATCACAGGTCAAGGCAGAAACATGTACTTTAGGAGTTCCTTACAAATCAAGGGGAACACAGCTACTTCAAGAGTCCCTCAAAGATCAAGGGAGATTCATCTATTTTGTGAGTCCTCCACAGATCAAGGGAGATATAGCTACTTTAGGAATCTGACACAAATCAATGACCTTGTTACACTGTATCATAATGTTTTGAAACATTAGGTATTTGATCAACAGTGTACTTTTCTTTAATATCAGTCTGGTCCTCCTTATATATTTAAGCATGAGTCTTGTCCTTCAACGTAAATCTAGTCTCCCTCCACTTACCCTTCAATACCAGTGTAGCTTCACTAATTAACCCCTAAAATAGCAGTGTAGACTCCCTCCCTACCTGTTCAATACCAGTGTAGACTCCCTCCCTACCTGTTAAATACCAGTGTAGACTCCCTCCCAACCCGTTCAATACCAGTGTAGACTCCCTCATTCACCCCTAAAATATCAGTGTAGACTCCCTCCCAACCTGTTCAGTACCAGTGTAGACTCCCTCCCTACCTGTTAAATACCAGTGTAGACTCCCTCATTCACCCCTAAAATATCAGTGTAGACTCCCTCCCAACCTGTTAAATACCAGAGTAAACTCCCTCCCTACCTGTTAAATACCAGTGTAGACTCCCTCCCTACCTGTTAAATACCAGTGTAGACTCCCTCCCTACCTGTTAAATACCAGTGTAGACTCCCTCCCTACCTGTTAAATACCAGTGTAGACTCCCCCATTCACCCCTAAAATATCAGTGTAGACTCCCTCCCAACCTGTTAAATACCAGTGTAGACTCCCTCCCTACCTGTTAAATACCAGTGTAGACTCCCTCCCTACCTGTTAAATACCAGTGTAGACTCCCTCCCTACCTGTTAAATACCAGTGTAGACTCCCTCATTCACCCCTAAAATATCAGTGTAGACTCCCTCCCAACCTGTTAAATACCAGTGTAGACTCCCTCCCAACCTGTTAAATACCAGTGTAGACTCCTTCCCAACCTGTTAAATACCAGTGTAGACTCCTTCCCAACCTGTTAAATACCAGTGTAGACTCCTTCCCAACCTGTTAAATATCAGTTTAGCTTAACTCTTTACCAACTGAAATTAATTCTGCCTCTTAAAATATAAGTGTACCCTCCCTACCCCCTTCATATCAGTGTAACCTTACTCCTTCTAATATCAGTGTAGCCTTACTCCCTACCCCCTACATATGTATGTAGTGTACATAGTGTACCCACCCTACCCTCTGAAATATCTGTGTTGTCCCACTTCATGTCCCTTTAAACATCAGTGTAGCCTCACTCCCTACCCCCTAAAATATCAGTGTACCCTCCCTACCCTTTAAACATCAGTGTAGCCTCACTCCCTACCCCCTAAAATATCAGTGTACCCTCCCTACCCTTTAAACATCAGTGTAGCCTCACTCCCTACCCCCTAAAATATCAGTGTACCCTCCCTACCTTTTAAACATCAGTGTAGCCTCACTCCCTACCCCCTAAAATATCAGTGTACCCTCCCTACCCTTTAAACATCAGTGTAGCCTCACTCCCTACCCCCTAAAATATCAGTGTACCCTCCCTACCCTTTAAACATCAGTGTAGCCTCACTCCCTACCCCCTAAAATATCAGTGTACCCTCCCTACCCTTTAAACATCAGTGTAGCCTCACTCCCTACCCCCTAAAATATCAGTGTACCCTCCCTACCCTTTAAACATCAGAGTAGCCTCACTCCCTACCCCCTAAAATATCAGTGTACCCTCCCTACCCTTTAAACATCAGTGTAGCCTCACTCCCTACCCCCTAAAATATCAGTGTACCCTCCCTACTCTTTAAACATCAGAGTAGCCTCACTCCCTACCCCCTTAAATATCAGTGTACCCTCCCTACCCTTTAAACATCAGAGTAGCCTCACTCCCTACCCCCTAAAATATCAGTGTACCCTCCCTACCCTTTAATCATCAGTGTAGCCTCACTCCCTACCCCCTAAAATATCAGTGTACCCTCCCTACCCTTTAAACATCAGTGTAGCCTCACTCCCTACCCCCTAAAATATCAGTGTACCCTCCCTACCCTTTAAACATCAGTGTAGCCTCACTCCCTACCCCCTAAAATATCAGTGTACCCTCCCTACCCTTTAAACATCAGTGTAGCCTCACTCCTTACCCCCTAAAATATCAGTGTACCCTCCCTACCCTTTAAACATCAGTGTAGCCTCACTCCCTACCCCCTAAAATATCAGTGTACCCTCCCTACCCTTTAAACATCAGAGTAGCCTCACTCCCTACCCCCTAAAATATCAGTGTACCCTCCCTACCCTTTAAACATCAGAGTAGCCTCACCCTCTTTCATTCGTATAAGTATGTATTCATCTTGCTTCTCTTAAAAGCCATTTGGTTTCTATGTAGCTACTACTGATAATTGTTCAGTGTTTTGAAACTTAGGAAAAGTCATTTAAATACTGATATTTCTCATTTAGTTTTGCTGAAATAGATTACACTTAAATTGATTCCAGATATGTATTTTATAGTAAATAGGGGAGGTAACTCTGGTGATACTGAGAGGACTGGTATAATTGATTAGTGTGGGAGAGGTCTCAGCTGGGCTATCAGTACAGAGCAGAGAATGTTGGCTTCTGATTGGTTGCTGACATACACACGTTTGAATGTGTCCTATTATTAAACAAGGATAGCACATGGCCTAGTCAGTCACTGCCAGTCACAGTGTGTGTAGTAAAAACTCTCTGTGAGAAAAATATTGCATATCAGTTGATATTTTACCTGTCTGTATGTAGGTATCTACTGAGTAGCCGCAGTTAAAAGGCTGCCACGTTTGGCAGTTATTTTATATGTAAAAGTTGATTATATATTTTGATGTTGTTTGCTAGTGAGCTGCCTACTCAATGTATGGAAATCCTACTTGTCTGTTTCCCCGGCACCTAATGGATTTAATGCCTATATTCTGGTGTCTCGTGTTTCTTTTCGTGGACGTAACTAAACAGGATCGAAGTGATGACATGTGGGAAGCCCTAACGTGTAAGTAAAAAAAAAAAACCATCAAAACAACAACAAACATTCAGTTCACTTATTGACTCCTAACTTGACCTATTTGCAGTGCGATGGTTGACCGCTAGGAGGGGTTTTGTTGGGGATTAATTTACCATGTGATTTGTTCTCCTCAATATCACTCAGGTGGAATAATGATGTAACGTCCTGAAAGCCAATATATTACTGGTGCATATCTGTTTCCTTAGAGTGCTAGTAGAGTAAGGGGCTGGTAACAGTGTTGATCTAACGCCTGCAGTATTGATTGATATGGTAGGGATATAAAGGTGTCAATATGTGTTTGTAATGGTATAAAAGTGAGATGCTCTGTACTGAACCACACTGAACAGTTATACACATTAAAACACACCAAAAAATATTCAGACATTCAAACAGTACAAACCATCAAAAATTTTGTTTCATAACTGGAAAGAACTGAACAAACATCAACAGCTTGAAACATAACAGAATATACCAGCACTAAATACCTAAAGTGTTTTTGTTGCACCTGTAGGTGTTTGTTTGTACAACATACACCTAAAGAGAAACTACAATGAAAGGTCCACCCTATATTAAGTGGTCCTGTTTCTCTGGTACTCCAGTAAACACAGGCTACTTCATCATTCCATTGGTTACATAACATGTCAAAATGCCTGACAGAGTATGTATGTAGTTCCTCCTTCTGAATCAATAACTAAATTAACTCCTATGAGGCGTGAAGCAATGTTTATAAATGGTTATACTAGAACAGCACAATTAACACCAAACAATTGATGTTCTATAGATATTTGATGTGGATGAAAACCATACCACTGTAGACAGTTTTCTGTTAATTAGTCTTTCTTATGCATCGTTGTCAGCAGATCTACAATAGCATTAATAATACTCAAACATCATCATCATTTACAACACCCTCAAGGATACTCAAACATCATCATTTACAACATCCTCAATGAAACACAAACACCACCATCCTTTACAACACCCTCAATGATACTCAAACATCATTTACAACATCCTTAACGATACTCAAACATCATTTACAACATCCTCAACGATACTCAAACATCATTTACAACATCCTCAATGATACTCAAACATCATTTACAACATCCTCAACGATACTCAAACATCATTTACAACATCCTCAACGATACTCAAACATCATTTACAACATCCTCAATGATACTCAAACATCATTTACAACATCCTCAACGATACTCAAACATCATTTACAACATCCTCAATGATACTCAAACATCATTTACAACATCCTCAATGATACTCAAACATCATTTACAACATCATTTACAACATCCTCAATGATACTCAAACATCATTTACAACACCCTCAATGATACTCAAACACCATAATCATATACAACATCCTCAACAATACTCAAACACCACCATAATTTACAACACCCTCAGTGATACTCACTATAAAGTACAACATTTCTGACATGATACTTTAATAGCATCACCAAATGCAGAGAATCATGTCAATATTTTTTTTATTTTTCTCAAGGACATGTTGGGAAGTAGGAACTTGCTGTATATAAAATAAATATTTTGAATATCAACACAGCTGAACGATGTTTGGAGAAATTTTTTGCAGTGATGCAGTTTACTCTGTAGTATATTTTGATCTAGATGCTTGGCTGATCCCATCTGGTGAACAAACAGATATCCAACTACAACAACAGATTTCTATATATGGAGATTGATATACATCCAGACATGTATACCTGAATGGTATAAAGGTAGACAGGTATCAACCTACACCTGATTGGTATAAAGGTATCCACCTACACCTGAATGGTATAAAGGTAGACAGGTGCTCATCTACACCTGAATGGTATAAATGTAGACAGGTATCCACCTACACCTGGTTGGTATACAGGTAGACAGGTGCTCACCTACACCTGATTGGTATACAGGTAGACAGGTATCCACCTTCACCTGGTTGGTCACATGTAGACAGGTATCCACCTTCACCTGGTTGGTCACAGGTAGACAGGTAGACATCTACACCTGATTGGTATAAACGTATCCACTTACATAAAGATTGGTATACAGGTAGACAGGTATCCACCAACTCCTGGTTGGCATACAGGTAGGTGGGTACACACCTACATGTACACCTGGACAAATCTACTTGGTAATGATCTAAGGAGTCTGCTGTTAAATCTAGATGCAAAATCCCTATAATATTGTTCGATAAAAGTGCAGATCAATACTCCACAATGTATCACATTACCTTAAAGTACTAAAATGAGTACAAACCTCTGACAATAGCGCTATGTAGGTAACCTACAGGTAGAAATAACTACAATAAGTAAAGAAAAATCCCCGGATGACACCTCTGATGACATAATGACCTGAAACAACCCTAATTTTACCTCACCGACGCCCAAACTGACATCAATACCCCTGGTTAAAACACAGACTATTTAAATATCACAATGGATTTCCTCATTTTCCTTGTGTAATCAGGGTATGTGATATCAAAACTGGAAATATAATAGGGACATAGTACTCCCCTTCAGTTCTAAACAAATGTGAGCTGTCAATAAACAAAAATTAGTGTCTTGCAGGTCTAAATTTGTACAATCTTTTATCAGGAAAGTGTACTTGACAAAACTTGTATTGGGCTAGTTAGATACAGTCAGATACACATTGGTGAACAACAACACAGTGTGACAGCCTTCAAAATTTACACCAGTAAAGTGATCATTCCAACTGTAATAAAATGTTATGCAGAAGATCTCACAAGAGATCAAATCAGCCATTTTGACAGCTTCAAATTAAGGTTAGCCAACTGATCATGACATCGCAATTTCTATTTGTACATTCAAGCACCATTCCACTCAGTCCTCCCCTCCCTGCCCCCCCCCACCCCTTCTTCTTCTCAATTTAAAAATTTAAAAATACCACTGGAAACATACTGTGCATGCAGATATATCTGTAGATATGGTGATGCTTTCTCATGTTTTTGGAGGGTATTTTTTCCTGTTATACCTGTGTCTATACCTGACAGAGAACCAAGGTCAGGGCTGGTGTATATATTATTCATTGGTGTTTCTAGCTAGGTCCTATAAGATAAGATGATATACTAACGATTTTCTTTCAGATTTTCATTAGCTACAGCTCTATATCCCACTACGCAGTACACCCACCTCTAACAATGGTTTTGACAAGCTATATATTGTGATAAATTCATGATTGCCATGACAACAGTTTTCAAGATTTGCCTCATTGAAAGACATAAGTCAGCTTGTCTCCACATTTAAGTAAAAGCAAATTTTAATAGAAGCCCCAGGAGATATCCAAAATATAAATATTGTAAATAAATCAATATTATCAGTATAGTTTGTATCATTTAATCTCCATAGCAACATTCTTAAAATTATATTTCACATCTGTAAAGTTGTGATGTCAGTAGGTGCTGTTTGATCAGTGCTATTTAAGTACACACATAATCACACAATCTCCCCGATCTATTACAAAATTCATGACAACCATAAGAATCACTTTCAGAATATATCTTCAATCATTTACGTGCCACTAAGTGCTTGTTAGCCCCATTCATTCTGGGATTAGCTCCAGGAGCAATATTGTAAATATTTACACTTCATTATTAAGGATTGAATCATGTAACACAATTTCCCCTCCACTGCAAACATATCTGTGATACGGAAATCAACGGTGATCATATAAACTCTTCGACTGATAAACAAAGCTTCTATAATCCTTTAGAAAACAAAGCCTTATTTCATTGAGAATGATATTTACATTAGACAAGCTTTTGTTTGACTATTACGGATCCTGTGACAGCCAGTACTGAGGCTGTAAAAAAATAGTTATTGTGACCACCACCCATCTAGCTACGAAACAAAATCAATACACGGAAAATATGAGTACCGTAATTCCCTTTTACACTGAACTTTTATTACACCAAATGAATAATTACACAAGATTAACATGTGCGCTCCTCAGCAACATTACCGCCTGTGTAACGATATCCTCATGCGTTACCTGATCGCCCAGCGACAGGATAAACACACTGTTTTGTTCCAAGACACTGAAAACTGAGTCAGTTATATCACAGGCAATTGCAGTTACTAGTGCAAACAGACTGCAACGGATCAGATCTGGAAACTCAACACTAAATATATAGTTTCAATAGAAATGATGAGGATTGGAGATGAATTATTAAAAACACGATGAGAGGATGATAAGCTTAATCCATCTCAGGCAAAACGTGTTTAGCTTCTGCTTGAAACCAAGAGAAAAATCAATGAAAAAGCAATCCAATTACGTGGAGAGAATTACTGTGTTCCTTCTCCAACACCTGGAGGTTCATGTACGGAAGATCATATCACTAACTTAATGTTTACCAGGACATCTAAGTAAATCTTTAATTTGCAAAATCTATCTGTCCATCAGCTTCATTACATGTCCTCGTGGACAAATAAACAACATATCTACAGTCCTCGTGGACAAATAAACAACACATCTACAGTCCTCGTGAACAAATAAACAACACATCTACAGTCCTCGTGGACAAATAAACAACATATCTACAGTCCTCGTGGACAAATAAACAACACATCTACAGTCCTCGTGGACAAATAAACAACACATCTACAGTCCTCGTGGACAAATAAACAACACATCTACAGTCCTTGTGGACAAATAAACAACACATCTACAGTCCTCGTGGACAAATAAACAACACATCTACAGTCCTCGTGGACAAATAAACAACACATCTACAGTCCTTGTGGACAAATAAACAACACATCTACAGTCCTCGTGGACAAATAAACAACACATCTACAGTCCTCGTGGACAAATAAACAACACATCTACAGTCCTCGTGGACAAATAAACAACACATCTACAGTCCTCGTGGACAAATAAACATCTACAATTTATCTCAAAATAACTCCATCTTTTCAATTTAAACACATCAATTTTTATATCTA